ATTATTTAAATCTAGTATAAATTATTTTGATAGTTGATGGATGATGGGCTCCATTAATATCAGAAAATGAACATTAAATTTGTTATTATCATGGTTGTTGAGGTATTAATGGCAATGTGGCTGTTCAATGAATTTATATGATGTTATAGATAGATAATGAATCTAATGTATAGGCTCCAACTAATGTAGAGTGAAAATTGGGCAATTGAAAAGTAGAGAATTGAGGGTATAATGCTTGAGTTGATAATGTTGATGAAATTCAACTTGGTTGATTATAATTTTTGGCTCTTAGTCACCTATTTGGCTTGGGAATTCAAGCTTGAAAGCTATTACATTAAGGAGTAAACCTTTGGTCTCTCAAAAGTTTGAAGTAATCGGAGGAAACTTTATTTTAGATAATTATATTTAATTGATTTTTAATTAATTGTTAAATGTGAATTGTGAATGTTACATGCATGGGTTTGATTTTTAATGTAAAACCATGTATTAGTTTCAATGAGTGCATGAAAATTTGAATGTGCATAATGTTATTTTAGCTTGAAATGCAAAATGGGAAGCAAGAGGGTTTTCAAATTATGAACATACCTATGCTTTTGAAAAATAAATGTGATGTGGTGTAGAGGTAATTATATGTTAATGAGAAGTAGATTTTGAGATAAGTGAGAATAATGTTGAGAAAATAATGAGAATACATATTTGGGTAGCACATAGTCGTGAGCCCAACGTGATTATTGTGATAATGAGTAAAAGAAAATAAAAATTTGAAAATGAGTGAGTACTGATTATGGCATGATCAGTGGCAGGAGTTCGCCTAGGCATTAGGAGTAGAGAAAAATTCATATGATATTTAGGCTGCCTTCCGGTGCATGAGGGTATAACCTTGTCTCACAGTTTGTTAAGGGACTATCTTATAGTTTGTTGAAGGACAAGAATCTAGCTATCTCTACCGATTCAATGAGGATAATAGTCTAGGATATGATACACCTTAGAGATACGAGAATGGGAGAAGTTATAGTTTGAAAGTGAGTCATATAATATTTGGCCAGATCACACCTCACGATTGGTAGGCTTGGATAGTCTAGTCAAATGGACAGAGCCCTATTTAGTGTTATAACCTACAGTTTTAGTATGAGAAAATAAGGAGGTTATAAGGTTGGTTGATCATTGCTTATACAAATATATGACATGTCACACATGTTAAGTTGTGGCAAGTTATGTGAATAATAGGTCATGGTCACGTATCTGAGAATATGGTGACAATGCATTTAGTATATGTGAGATAAAGAAGTTATTAAATGATAAATGACAAGTTATGATATGTGTGAGAATGTTTTACATACTTGGTTCCTAATTGATATATAATTGCATAATGTAGATTTAACTTTGGTTACTAAGTAGCTAGACTCACTCCTTTCATTTAATACTTTTCAAGCTCTAGTTCTAGTGCTAAGAGAGAGAAGACTCAAGAGGCTAAGAATTAGCATATTCCTACTGTATGCCTCTGGTTTTAATTTATTTTGTGTAATAGAATATAAATGCCAATTCTAGGATGCATGCCATTATACTTGCACTATTTTGTTATTGTAAATGTTAGATTTGTATTTTGAACCTTGAGTATTTGTCTATGTAGAGATATATATATATATATATATATAATATATATTTGTAGGGTCAAAATACTAGTGCAAGTATAAAAATGATGATTTGAACATGTTTGGATTGATTTGGATATAAAGTAATGACAACTTACCTCCCCCTTTGTTTTTGGTAAAATGGGATTGAGGAGTAAAATTTTGTTAGAATATTGTTTTAGTGTTTGTGATGTGTTTTACTAGTAGTCCTAGGTCCAATGAATATGGTTCAACTGTTAAAAAAGGCTTTTGGCACATATTGAGGATTTTGGACACTTATTTTGTGTAAAAATTATGAAAAGTGATTAAAATGCATTTGGACATCTAACTTTCTAGTGTGACTTGTTTAGAAGTAAAACCCATGCCATTAACTAGTTCATGTAAAGAGCTTTTCATAAATACCTAGATCACATCATTCGAACATCAAACGGAGAATCGAGAAGCGTCAAAAGTTCCCCAATTCTACTGTCAAATAATAGCAGAATTTGTTAATTTTTTGTGCAATACACCACAGCACATGGCATTTAAGTCGCAACACGTGGCACAGAAAGCAACACGCTATGATGCATCATGCATGAGCCACAACACATTGCTTTGTCACACATTATAAGAGTCATTTTTCACTTGTTTTCTATTTCTTTCACTCCTCCGAGATATCCCATGCTTTTATAACTTATTTTTACTTTGATATAAAGGATTTTGATTGATTTAAACTTATTTTTTATTTAAAAAACTTGGGATCCCTTGATATTAAACTAAAGCTTGGTAATCACCTTTTTGAGTTAAGTCTTTGATTACCATGAACTATAGTAGTTAATTGTATTTAGTGGAGTGAGATTTTACATTAGTTTCTTACCAAGCAATTTATTCTTTTGATAATCACCCCCAATCAAGTTTTCTATCCAATAATTCATTTTTCAAAGAATCACTCATGTCTGCCCACTAATTCATCCTCCAAGAATCACTCCAAGATTTTGTTTTGGTGATGATTTATAATTCATGCACAAAAGAATCACCGTGAGTTCATATTTGCTATGAAAGCCTACTTCTATCATACATTATTCATATCTTGAGTTTAAGGGGTAGTGTTGAGATAAAGATTTATTCTCTTAATATATATTATTTATTAAGATTTATTCTATTGAGATTTAAAAAATATTTTATATTCATTAAATATTATTAGAGTATTCATTAATTATTATTAATTTTATCTATATATTATAAACCTTTCGTACCAGTAAAGTACATCACTTTTTCCATCATTTATTTCTCCCTTGACTTCTTTCAATATTGGATAGTGATTATACATGTTTACAATCTTCAATAATATAAAAAATATAATCAATAAACAAGAATTCACGAATCAAAGAGGAAGGTTTATTATGAAAGTGTGAAAAATTATTATATGTTCAATGCGAACATGTGATATTTAGTGTGTAGTAAAAAAATGATAGAAAGCATAAAAGTAATCATATTAACAATGACTTTATGATAATCGATCTGAGACAATTGGTCACTGGCTTGTTAATCTTGAATTCTTTCCCTGTCTTGCACCGCATGTAGAAGAAAAAACTTGTATTTGGAATTGTGGCCGTGGTTACAGGGATGTTCAATTTATACCAATTTCAATTGGCCCAATTTCATCCCAATCATATTAGGATGGAATGGGACATGGAATTGCTCTCGGGATGTCCTGTCTCATCCTGTCTGTAACGAGCACAAACCCAAAGAGAGAGTTCATCTCAAAAAACTAGCCTATTAAGAAAGAAAGCCCTTTAAACTTATAAATCCCATACTATTTGCGAGGCTTCCTGATGTGGGACTTATGATAATGCCACCCTATCAGGAGCCATTTTCCTCAGCAGCTTCACTCCACAGCACTTTACTAAACCTTTTGCCAGTCAGAACCCTCCGTAGATAGCTCTTTCCATAGCACCGGCCTCTTAATTAAAGTACTAATATCACGACCACAAGCCTTTTAGGTAGAACTTACCCCTAAAAGGCACTTCGTATGGGGAGGGTACTCAATTGACTTATAAAGCACACTCCACCAATATGGCTTTTCGATGTGGGATTCATCACACCGTCCCAAATATTATATAGATATATATTATTTTTATTTTAAAAATATATGTTAAATATATCAATTGTATTAATGTAATTTATATTTATATTAATTATGTTAATTATAATTTCAATACATGCTATTCTTATTTAAAACTAAAAGTCTTTTATATTGATAATTTTAATGACACCAAGTAAACAGTATAGGGTAATATCTTTCTTTACAATATATTAATTATATTAATACAAATTATTTTTATATCTGCCTATTCAATAACCTTTATTTATATCGTATTTATTACTTTATTTTTGAAAGAGTTACTTGCTTAATATATTTCAACTAAAGAAGAAGAATAATGACTTGATGTTGTATCAGCCTTGTCTGTTGTTGCTTTTATAACTTAGAGATCACTTTTATTTACTATCATAATGTGTTATGTCTTATATATTATTAACTTTAAGTTATATGCTTGTAAGTGTAATTGATGTAATTCAATAATTGTTATTATTTATGTACTCATATTATTTTGGTTTTAAACTTAAGTTATGTGATTTAAAATTTTAATTAATAAATATTATTATCCAGACATTTTTTTCATATTATCTGTTGTATCAAGATGGTAGGACTTCTCGATCTTGTCTCGGTCTGTCCTGATTTTTAATGGGAGAAGATGGGATACATGACAAAATTTTAGTATTGATATTTTTTTGAAATAACACACGGGACAGGGGTGTCCTGTCCCTTAAACACCTTTAGTCATTCATTTGAACTGTACTTCATATATAAAGTTCGAAAAATAAACCATACTACTTATAAGATAAAAATAACATAATATCTTATATGAAATTTAATGATATTGATATTTTAGTGATATATTGATGATATTTTTTGTTCCAAGATATTTCTATAGCTGGCAACCATAAGACTATTTCAATTGAAAGATTATAGTACCAAGTGCCCATTCGATGATTTCTGTAACAAAAAAATAAAAATTGCAATTTGAATAGAATGAAAATGAGAGCTATGCTCAAGATTTTCCTTTGGCTTTAGCACTCTAACAAAAACACAACTATGGTTGGGGGGACTTGGGAATAGGTAGGGGAAAAAATCCATTCATATAGAACTATCAATTTACTAAATAAGCAAAAATGAACAGCGAAGTTCATTTCTAATTGAACCAGCCTTTACTACACACAGGAGCATTTAATAGTAAAATGTCAATCGCATTCAACTAACACGGGTCATCTAAATTTAATTAGCTTTCCATCAATTTTCCAAATTAAATTTATTAATCTTGAAAAAGATTTCTATGAAGTAAATTTGATATTGCGATGTAATCAAAGCTATGCGTTTCAAGATTGCTTGGATAGGCAATTAAATAACAAATCAAACACATTCGAACATACTTGTAATGCAATTTAAACAGTACTCGAGCACAAACTAAGAACTGGTCCAATAAAAGCCCTAGTCCAATAGGGCAACGATTCTTGAGCAAATCTTACTTGCCACCCTTAGCTTCACCCCTTAGTTTGTCCGCTACTTCAGCAAGCGTGCAACAAAATTTGGCTTCATCTGTCAAAGAACTAACAATTTCATCTGCTAATCTCAGCTCCTCATGGAACGCTGGATGCATCATCAAGGAAGCAAAATTCACATCAAGCACCAAACCAAGACATTTCCCAACGACTTCAAGCTTAGGAACCCAATCGCAAGCCTTCAAACCTAATGTTGCCGAGGCATTTGAGCACGGCACCACTTGCGGAAACCTCTGGTATTTCTTCAACCACTTTGTCAAATACCGAATCAAACTCATCGTCTCTTTGCCATTCAACTTGCTAAATGAAGGAGATAGCATATCTCTGTTGATGTGAGATGATGCAAACAAATAATGCAGGCAAAGCTCCGATCTTGAGAACCCATCATGCGCCAGCATAAGCAAACCAGCAGCCTCCTTCGCCAAAAGGAAATTCCTTCCCTTGCGATCCTTTGCTTTCTCCAGAGCTATTAGTGCTTGGCTCTCCCACTCCTTCCTCACAATTTCCAAACTGTCAAAAGCATCTTTTGGCGGACAAAGAAAATACCTCAGAATGCAGAGCATTTCAGATGATCCAAGATCTAATGCGTGCCTAATACACAGGCAGACCAAATTGGACCTCCTCTTCTCCACTAGTCTAGAAACCAAGTTTGAATAACCAGAACGTTCAACAATACCATTAACAATCAAAGTCTCAACCAGTTCCCATATCTCCAAAGAAACACATCCTTCCAAAATCAGGCCAGCTACGTTTTTACCAATGAAAAAATGAAGTTTGTCAATCAAAATCTTCGTATAATCATTATTGGATGAATCAATCCCAATCGAAACTCCTGCATTGTCTCTAATGGTATCAAGGTATGAATTCAAACTACTAACAAACTTGTCCCTATTAAAATCACTAGACTTGAGCTTTGTCTTTAGCTCCACGAAGAACTTGTTGCTAATGGCAACCAGTTCTGTATCAGTTTGCGAGATATTCCATCCAATGAGAGGTTTTAGGACGGATGAAGAGCTTATTTCTTCTTCCGGTTCCGGCTTTAAATTTGCAATAATATTATCTGTGTTAATAACAATTGGGTAGTCTGGTGGTGAATCAGGCACCTTCGGATTGACTGAAGCATTCTTAATGACTTCCAGTAAACTCATGATGCAATAACAAGGAAAACAAACCTGTGAAGGAATCAAAACTAATCAATACACTTGCTCATGTGGATAAGGATGGAAAAAAAAATATCACAGATTGATTTCATTCAGCTATCTGCAAGAATCAGTTCACTAGCTACCTTGTTATAGGCATGAATCTTGTCAGTCATCACGTATGTTTCCAAATTAAAATCAATGTAGTTCTCAGATGTTAACAAGAAAGGACCGAGAATAATGAAAAATTTTCAAAACAAAACCTACCAGGATAGCAATACCAAGAAACATGATACATCATACACATACATTAAATTAAGAATGCGATAATCAAGCAATAACCACTTTTATAAATAAAAGAATAATCACATTCCCAGAAACGTCAAACATTAAAAAGAAACACCTAATGTTATTATGTAATTATTCTTGCTACAGCTATATTGAAGAAAAACTAAATACTAGTCTTTCTAAAAATATCTTACAGAATGGGTCTATGATTCAAGGAGCTCTCATGATACTTCCATCATAGCAGTATAAAACAGCAACTCCATTAAACAATTCAGCAACATAACAAATTAATAGGTGACAAATAAGCAACATAGAAATAATTCAATGAGACAGAAAAAGCCCCAGCTAGAAACAAGCTTTCATGAGAATTAGGAAGTTAAAACTTCCAAATTAGCTCTAACTACTCAAGTCAAGTAAACCAAACTAGAGTTGAAGTGGCACAGTGTTAATTGATATAAAAACCAAACCAACAGAAATCAAGACACGTCCAGTTTTGAGCTTTCAAGCATAGGCGGACCCATACTACACCCAGTGGGGGCAGCCACCGCTGAAATTTTTGAAATATGCATAGTTGATATAACGCCCTTTTAATTTTTGTTCCAGATACTTTGACACAGCTCGAGCCAAGTCAATTACAAGATCAAACAACACAAGTACCTTGAGAGTTTCCAAATTTGACGATAATATAAAAATATTAATAAACAGAATACCAATACACAACGAATCCAACGTTGCCAAACAACAATATCCAAATCATACAAAGTCGCTAGTAATCAAAATGGAGAGGGAAGAAGAATAATAGCCAGTTACAGACCATTCAAGCGAAAACTAGTACAAAAAAAAACTCAATATGTAAATATTCCCAAATTCAAAGGTGTCAATACTTAACGATTACACGACCAGATTCAAAGCCAAATTAAAATGAAAAATTTAAAACAAAGCAAGAACAGCAGGAAGAGATGACGCGGGGGAAATTCAAACCTAGATTCAAAACACCAGATTGAACAAGTCAATCTCACCGGATATTGGGAGTAGAAAAAGCCCTAGGGTTCGAACCTTCTTCACTGCTTGCCCGAGAACAACCACACAGTGCTGACAACGGAGGACGGCGCCCAACGGAGCATGGGATGCTTGTTCGATGAAGAGAACTGAATCCGCTACTCACGAGGAAGGGTTTTATGACTTTATCGGGGGTTTTAATTAATTTCAGTATAAATTTAAGAAAAAATGACAATAAAAAATAATTTATTCAAGATAAATCTTAAGAGATTTAAAAATCTCAAATAAGTCCCATAATTCTTCAGATCATAACTAACAAATAAAAATATTCAATTATTTTTATAAAAAAAATTTTAATTATGCACCAATATTATGACATTCTCTCATAAAGTCATGCTCTCAAGTCTCAAACTTAAATACATCTTTTCTAAAAACAGTAATGTGCCCTTATCCCTTATTTCTGACATCTCCTCCTCTGTCATCGCAGTAGGTGGATGCAGCCACTTGTTTCGCCATCCATTGTGCACTACCTGGTGTTATCAGGGCTTCAATCCTCTAAATTGATGAAATGGAGAAGCTCTTCAGTGATTTATTTATTCTATGAAAGAAATAGAAGCACTTGGCCTAATCTTAATACACTGAATCAAGGACCAATATTAGAAAAGAGAAGCTACTCATTTTAGATTTGCAACTTGAAGATATGCTCTTTTTGAGTGTGTAGCATGCATTATAAAATAAATAACTATTGAATTCGAGAAAGAGTTGCAAATTATTATCATTAAAGGAGTGAAAGATTTATTAAATTCTTACAAAAGTTATTCTAGAAAATGGCTCCAATAATTTGCAATTGAGATACTAAATTTTACAACTTTCCTACAAATAATTTATGACTCCTTCTCAAAATTTTGGTATTTCAATTGTAAATTATTGGAGTTAAAAATTTTGAGAAAAAGTTACAAATTATACATAGAGAAGTTGCAGAATTTAGTATCTCAATTGTAAATTACTGGAGCCATCTCCTAAAATAATAACTTTAAGAATTTCATAGTTCTTCCACTCAAAATTTTGAGAAAGAATTGCAAATTATTCATAATGAAGTTGCAAAATTTGGTTTTTGAGTTGCAAATTATTGGAGCGTTATCGTAAAATAATTTGGTAGCTTTGCAAGTTTAAAAATTCAATAGTTCTTCCAACCAAACTTTCAAGAAAGAGTTGCAAATTATTCATAGAAAAGTTACAAAATTTGGCATCTCAGTTGTAAATTATTGGAGTCATGTCCTAAAATAATAACTTTAAGAATTAGTTCTTTTACTCAAAATTTTGAGAATGAGTTACAAATTATTCATAACAACATTGCAAAATTTGATATTTAAGTTGCAAATTACTGAAATCTTATCCTAAAATAATTTGATAGTTTTACAAATTCAAGAATTTAATAGTTCTTCCACCCAAATTTGGAGAAGGGGTTGCAAATTATTCACAAGACAGTTGCAAAATTTGATATTTCAGCTGTAAATTATTGGAACGTTGTCCTAAAATAATAACTTGGTAGCTTTGCAAGTTCAAGAATTCAATAGTTCTTGTACCTAAAGTTTCGAGAAGGGGTTACAAATTATTTATAGGGAAGTTATAAAATTTGGTATCTTAGTTGTAAATTATTGAAGTCATCTCCTAGAATAACTTTTTTAAAAATTTAATAGTTCTTCCACTCCTTCAGTGAATAATAATTTGTAACTCTTTCTCAAATTCGATAGTTTTTTTTTTTTTTACAATGCATGCTACATACTCAGAAAGCGCATATCTTCAAGTTGCAAATCTAAAATGAGTAGCTTCTCTTTTTTGGTATTGGTCCTTGATTCAGGACATTAGGATTAGGCCAAGTGCTTTTGTTTCTTTCATAGAACAAATAAATCACTGAAAAACTCCTCCATTTCATCGATTCAGAAGATTGAAGCCCTAATGTGAACAACAGATGGCAGAACAAATGGTTGCATCCACCCATTTGATGACAGAGGAGGAGACATAAAAAATAAGGGATAAAGGCACACTATTGTTTTAAAAAAGGATGTATTCAAGTTCGAGACTCAGGAGCATGAGTTTTCGAGAAAACATCATAATAGTGGTGCACGATTAGATTTTTTTATAAGGCCATTGAGTATTTTTACTTGTTAATTATGATTATTGAAGGACCATGGAACTTATGCAGGGTTTTTGAATCTCTTAGAATTTATCTTGAATAAATTGCTTCCTTTGAAATTTGATTGTCATTTTCCCTAAATTTATTATAAACACAATACGTCATTCTTATAATTACATCCGATTTTATTTTTACTGTTTATAATTTTTTTAGTATTATCAACCTTTATAATTTTAAAAAAATTATGTGATTTTTATTTTTTATGTCTTTATAATTAATTTTAATTTTTATAAGAATTGAAAATATTAAAAGAGATTAAAAATTATGTTTTCATAGATTTATATTTAACACTTCTGTATGAATAATATTAAATTTTTGGATATACTATTTTTAATTTTTTTTTCTAATTTTCTTATACTTTTTTTAAATTTTTTAAATAATTAAAAAATATTAATTTTTTTACTATGTCGAGTGAATAGAATTAGAGAAGAGAAATGAAGTTGACTAAAATAAAATAAAATTGATAAAAACATATATTAATACACAGTATTACATTAACACAAAATATACATAAATAGTGAAGATACTAATTTAAAATATATAAAAATATGAAATGATAAAATAATTATTATTTTATAAATTTTTTTATCATATATAAACATATTAAACATGTATTAATAATAAAATACAAATTTTGACAAAAAAAATTTCATCTTTTATAAATACACAAACATAATATTATAGAAAAAAATATAAAAGAAATTTTATATTTTATATTAATATTTATTAAATTATATTAAATTAATTTTTTATTAAATTACAATTTATATTAACTCAAATAAAGTTAATTTTAAAAATGAAAAAAATAATGAAATACGAATTGTTTTAAATTTAAAAGATTATTGGTGATACCCTTTGACATTTAAGAAAATTATATATTTATATAAGTAATAAATTTTTTATATCTCAACTAGTATTTAAACTTCACCTCCATTTTAATATAATGGGAGATGGGAGAAATTCTTAGATAAGCTTATAGCGTCATCTCATTTGTGCATTGACCAACCAAAGCATGACACCTCACAAAATTTAAATCTAAGATAACATTTACTTTGAATTTATATTTCTCTTATTTAATTTATAGTATTTAAATTATTTTAGATAATGTTTAAATTGATGGATTTAGATTTGAATTTTAAATTTTTACATTTGAAATCCATATATTCAAAACCTTTTTTTGGTAACTTAAAAAATTTTAAATGAAAAATAGGAATGAATTGAGATTTGAAATAAACTAAAAATAATGAGTTTATTTTTTTAATTAATAAGAAATAAGAAAAAATACAAAAGTTATAGCAGAATTAATGGTGAAAATGTGTAGAGAACGAGATGTTCAAACTAATTAGAAATTCAAATGATTAAGATATAGAGATAATTTAAAATTGTAGTCAATAATTTTTTGACATTGTGTGGATATAACTTAATGCTCTTGTGACACTGTTTCACCAATTGCAGTTTATAACAATGGTTGCTAGAACATTCATTGGAGACCAAAAAGAGAATGAAGAGAGAGTTAGGAGACACATTTTTTGTTCAAAGCTCATGGTAAAAATGGTAAACAATCCTTGGGTTTGGACCATTGAAGACAACAACAGAGAAATATTATCTAAGAATTTGGAATATAATATTAGAGATTGACACTTTATATTTAGTTATACCCTATTTGTTAGTCATTGGCGATGCTATGTGTTCAAGACCAAGACCAAAGCTTTAATGTCTTGAATTCATTAGTTAGTATTTCTAAGTATGAAAGGAGAAAGAAAGCGGACAAGAATGTTAAAAAGGGCAAGAAGCTAGCTGAGAAAAAAAGGAAAAAAACAGGACAAGTGGATGTAACGGAAAAGTTGGCACATATTGTGTATGTCTGTACTTATCATTTACTTCATTTTTACTTGTCATTTCTTTATGCATAGTTGTTAATGGACATTGTTAATTTTTGTACAAAGGAACTGCTTCCATCAAATGCTCCTTACTATTAAACCAAATTTATTTAACAATGACATGAAGTCAGATGTTATGTGGCTTAAAATTTGAGTGCAGAAGGATACATGAGTATTATTGATTTAATTCTTATGTTTGATTTTCTTGTGGTTGTAATTGAGTTGATTGATTTAGTACTTATATTATAAATTTTGATTATAGTTATTTTTGTGGTGTTCACGTCATCACATACTTACGGTCATGGGATAACACTTACTTGGATGAGGACAGTTATGTCATGCCAGAATACTCAAACATATGAATGTTTTGTCAACCACTTGAGTATAACATGTAAACTACAGATTGATGATGTTTTTAATATGACTGCTTTGTTCCTGTAGGATGACCTCCGATAGAAAAAGGTTGAACTATTATGGTGGCTAATCAATCATAGCAACAGTGAGAAAGAATCCACTGTGATGTCTACGTTATTAGGATCCCAGAAAGGCAAAAGGAGAGGATAGAAAAGCCATTCAAGTTATGCATATCATTTTAGGGTAGAATTATTTGTGATATTAAACTTTGTAAATGTTCTTAGTTTGTAAATGTACCCAAGTTGTACTTACATTATTACACAATGTCATCACCTTTTTATACTCAATAATTTTGGATGTTGTACTTTCTAAATGCTTAATATCAATGGTGACTATTAGTTTTAATTCTTATATCGTGTTATTCACAAGTTAAAATTTTTAATTAGGCTAATTGTTGTTTACAAGTAGGCAAGAGGGAATAACAATAGGCCGAGGGGGATTAACAACTGGGTGAGAAACATTTACAATTTATCATGTTTTAAATGTAACAAGGATCTGAGCAAATATACAATTATCATTTACAAGTGGGTAAGGTGAAATAACAACAAGTAAAGGGGGATTGACAAGTTGGGTAAAGGGAATAACAACTGAGTGAGAGACATTCACAACTTACCATGTTTTAAGTATAACACGGATCTGAGCAAATGCACAATTGTCATTTAC